TGGGCGATGTGTCAATGCGATATGGGTAATTGTAGATCGGTTGAGGGAGAATGCTTACTTTCTGGATATCAGTGAGAGCTCTTATGCGGAGAAATTAGCCGAGATCTACGTTCGAGAGGTGGTGACACGACATGGGGCGCTGACATCGATAGTGTCAGATCGAGATGTGTGTATTACTTCTAGGTTCTGGAATAAATTTCATGAGGAGTTTGGGTACCTGGTTGCACTTCAGTACCGCATATCACCCACAAACAGACGGACAAAGCGAGCGGATGATTCAGACACTCGAGAACATGCTACATGCATGTGTTATGGACTTTGGTGGAAGTTGGGACACTTACTTGCCCTTGGATGAGTTTTCATACAACAACAACCATCATTCCAGTATCATTATGCCTCCCTTCGAGCTCTTATAGGGGAGGAGGTGTCGGAATCCCATTTGTTGGGGAGAGGTAGGGCGGAGAGTGATGGGGGCACTGAGATAGTGCTCATGACGACAGAGCAGATCCAGGAGGTCAGACAAAGGTTACTAACGATCCACAACCGTCAGAAGAGTTACGCCGACCGACGCCGTTCAGAGCTAGATTTTCAGGTCGAAGATTTTGTCCTCCTAAGGTATCCCTACAGAAAGGGGTGATCCGATTCATGAATCGGGGAAAGCTAGGCCTTAGATATATTGGAAATTTCTGGGTGATCGCCAGAGTCGGTAAGGTAGCTTATTGGTTGGAGTTTCCTGCAGAGTTGAGCCATATTCATAACACTTTCCATGTGTCCTAGCTGAGGAAGTGTGTAGTCGATGAGACAGTAGTGGTCCCTTTAGAGAACATTCAGGTTGATGAACGCCTAAACTACATTGAGAAGCTAATAGCGATCTTCGATAGGAAGGTGAAGGTCTTGAGGAATAAAGAGGTGCCCTTGGTTCAGGTTCAGTGGCAACATCGAAAGGGATCCGAGTGGACTTGGGAGCCGGAGTACGAGATGCGGGAGCAGTACCCATAGTTGTTCCCGGAGGATGACTTCGAGGGCAAATTTTGATTCTAATGGGGGAGAATTGTAACATCCCGACTCCCATGTATAATATGTAATTAATTTGCATTCATGACGTCAGAGCAATTCGACGAGTTCAATGACCCAACTCGCCGAGTATAGAAGTTAATGGCCGCGTGATTTTTAGAGTCTACTCGGTGAGTTGGAGGACCCCAACTCGATGAGTAGGAGTTGAGTGAGAAAACCATAATTTTCAGGGTTAGTGTCCTATTTAAAGGACCTTAAGCCTTCATTTCTGCCTCCCTTATCATCTTAACATTATGAGCGAAACCCTAATTGAGTTATATCCTTGTGTGAGAGAAAGAGAGGATAACACTTCATATTTTAGTGCATTTTTGGAGGAAGATTGAGGAACAAAAGGCTTGGGACAAGTGGGAGCTCTTAGATCCGATGTTCTTTCATTTCTAGCTTCTGTTTGAAGGTGAAAAGCTACCACCTTGATCATTGTTTGGTTAGATCTCTTTTCTAGGGAGTTTAGGGCCTTTTCCGTCCTTCTTTGAGTTATGGAGTTGTTTGAGCTTGCCATGGAGTTGAGACTTCATATCTGGACAATATGAGGTCCCTTGTACTCAAAGATCGAAGCTTTATCAAGCTAGTGGCAAGCTTTTATGCATTAAACCCTATATAGAGCTTGTTTTGGCATTTCGAGCCCTAGATGCCATGCATGGACATAAAGCTTGCAACTTTACGTGATATTTCAGCCTTGGGAGGCTAGATCTAGAGTTTGGGGCCTTATTTCTGCTTAGAATTGTCTGAATGAGAATTGGTTTAGAGGGATTCGACGAGTGCATGAGCCAACTTGATGAGTTAGCTAGGGTTTTCCCAAATAGTCTGGACACCCTACAAATTAGCGAGTTGATGAGACAACTCGACAAGTTGAGTTGGATTTTCCCGATACTTTAGAAAAATGAAGGAACTCGACGAGTTGCATAGATGCACTCGACGGGTTAGGTCAACATGGACTGTTGACTCAAGCGTTGACTTCTATTGAATTTTAAGGTTTGGTCAAGACATGAGTGACGAGACCATGGAGGGGTAAAATAGTCTTTCAGCCTTTCCGAGAGTGAGGAAAGAGGTTAGCCTAACTTCGTAAGAGTTATGATTATAAAGTGTTAATTAGAGATGATTATATCATGTAGGCAGTGTCTAGACTGTTCATGGGGTACTAGATCTACTTGCTTACTTACGAGGTGAGTCTTCTCACTATACTTACCTGAGCGATAATATTATGTGACCAGAGGGTCTTATTTGAGTTATTGACCGGAGGGTGGTATGTGCTTATACTGAGTTATGTGATATTATGCATTTTGTCTTTGTGATATATGCTATATTTTTGTGCCTTGTTGAGTTAGGATCGGAGGGTCCAACCCGAGTTGTGAGACCGGAGGGTCTTCACTGAGATACAAGACTGTAGGGTCCAACCCGAGCTGTGAGACTGGAGGGTCTTCACTGAGTCACATGACCGGAGGGTCCACACCGAGCCGTGAGACCGGATGGTCCTCATCGAGACGCATAACCGGAGGGTCCATGCCGAGCTATAGCCATGAGAGGCTTATTATTTTTATATGTGGTATTTTGGGGAACTCCCTAAGCTTCGTGCTTACCGTGTTGTGTGATATGTGTTTCAAGTACTTCTCAGGATCACGGGAAAGCGTCAACTTGCTTGTACACACCTGTTCGAGATTATGTTTGAGGATTCTGGGATATTATCAGTTATTTTGTTGATTTGTGTTTTGACAATTGATACATTTGTGGTTTTTGGGAAATGTGACATTGAGTTTTATGTGGGTTAAAAATGAAAGTTTTGTTTGAAATTTTAGAGTGTTACACCATAATTCTATGTGTGTGTTCGATCAAAAGAAACAACAGAGAGATGGAAACGAAGAATGGGTTACGATGGTAGACGCGATGCTGAATAAGGCTTGTCGGGTGCTGCATGTATTTATATGAGTCTTGAATCAAGCCCTAGAACTTTAGAAATCAAATATGAAGGAATATGCGGATGAATAGATGTGGCTACTACTGTGTAAAACGTACTTGACCACCACCCCTTTGTTGTTGCGTCACTGTCTTCTTGCACTAGTAGAACCAACGTGGTTGCGCAGCCCCATCGCATTAGCGATGTTGCCGTCTTTCTTCCAATCTCTCTCTCTCTCTCTCTCTATATATATATATATATATATATATATATATATATATATATATATATATATATATATATATATATATTAATCGAACACTCATTGATTCTTCATCTATCCTTTGATTCACGGATACGTACACACATGTAAATTATTTATTTAACAGATAAAGAAGAAGACGAATCCCGTCAACACCATCTTCTTGCATCAAAAAAAAAAAAAAAAAAAAAATCAAATCAAACAACACAGAATGTGAAGCCACATGTCATTCCATATCAACCAAAACCCCATCAAAGCGACATGTTGGCTCTCCATAACAACTAGCTATGAACTAGGGATGAACATTTGTCCCGATAGAATCGAACCAGATAAAAATTACTACAGTCAGCCTGGATTGGATTGGAAAAAGACCAGAACCGACTCCCCAAACCGGACCACAATTACAATATATCGACATTGTTCCCAATTCTAAGGTATCCGCTTTTTGGTTTTTGGGTATTCGGTTCTCGGGCCTGAAATCGAAAACCGGTTCTGGAATAAACATTCTTTTGGCTAAACCTGGTTCTAGAAACGAAAACCTATGTCGGAACCGAAATTGGAACCAATACACCTTAACCGGTCCGACTTTTGATACTCAATTTTTGTGCATTTCGGTTTTTAGGTATTCGGTTTCTGGTTCGAGTTGGTAGGGGTGAGCATGGTGCGGTTTGGTGCGGTTTTCAGACCAAACCGAACCGCAAACCGCATGGTGCGGTTTTTGCATTCTTAAAACCGTTGGGTGCGGTTTTGCAATGGTTCGGTTTTTCGGTTTTTAAATGCGGTTTCGGTTTGTATCGGTGCGGTTTCGGTTTTCAAACCGTGTTAAGAATTTGGTGCAGTTTTTTTTTTATGTTTTTTGTACGGTTTTTTAAAACCGTAAGAACTTAAAACCATGTGCATATAAGCTTGTATTGTGCTGTTTTTTTAATACATTCATTTTCAGCTCAAAACAAAATTACATAATCAAAAATTGTAAGTCGTTTAAAATACAACTTGTAACCACTCTCAAAAACTAATTAATGATTGAAGGTTGGTTGATTTTGACTTAATTTGTTACAAGCTTATTACATGTAATCGATTAGTACGTTTGGCTAACAATAGAACATTTCTTTTGCACCACATATAGTTTTATACAAACACAAAATAAACATATAATAAATATATTATCGTTTATAACTATTTTAAATAGAATGTATATAATATACATTGATTGATTTATTACTATACACGCTTGCGGTGCGGTTCGGTTTTGATGGATCGGTTTTTAGGATAGAAACCGCACCGCACCGTTGACCTTCGGTTTTTGCAAAAATTAAATCCGCATCATTGGTTTTTGCATCGGTTTCGGTTTTTCGGTTGCGGTTTATTGCGGTTTTATCGATGTTTCTTTAGTCGGTTCGGTTTTTGCTCACCCCTACGAGTTGGAACCAATATCCATTGTAACATGAGAAACCTGTTAACTAACCAAACACTTATGACAAAAGCTTTTGTATTGTCTAGACATCTACACACATAAATTTAAGAGTTTATTTTATATAATTTTCCAAAAAAAGAAGCTTAAAAGTTAAAAGTGTTCATGTCTGCGTTTTCATATTTGTAGGTCGTATATCAGAATTCAGAAGCAGTCGTTTTATCTCCATTGAAAACATGATTATCTAATTATAAGTAGAAGAAACACAAGTCCATAACCACTTTTAAGTTTTAAGTTTTGACTTTCGTATCAAGGTTTAGAGCTCCGTAGACGAACTCCAAAACCTGCCTCTGTTGTCAACAATGGCTTCATCGGAAGAACCCGATAGCACCACCTCCATGCCCCAACCCTACAGGCTAAAGCAAACCCTCACAGGCCACAAACGTTCCATCTCCAGCGTCAAATTCTCCGACGACGGCAAGCTAATCGCCACCTCTTCCGCTGACAAGACCGCCCGAACGTGGTCCACCTCCGATGGATCTCCTCTCCAAGAATTCATCGGCCACGAACAAGGAATCTCAGACGTCGCGTTCTCCTCCGACGCTCGGTACCTCGCCACCGCTTCCGATGACAAGACCGTCCGCCTCTGGGATGTATCCACTGGTTCACTCGTCAAAACCCTAATCGGACACACAAACTACGTCTTTTGCGTAAATTACAACCCTCAATCGAACATGATTGTCTCCGGTTCCTTCGATGAGACAGTTAGGGTTTGGGACGTGAAATCCGGCAAATGCTTGAAGGTGCTTCCGGCGCATTCTGATCCTGTAACCGCTGTGAACTTCAATCGCGACGGGACGTTAATCGTGTCTAGTAGTTACGATGGATTGTGCAGGATTTGGGATGCATCCACAGGGCATTGTATGAAGACTCTGATCGATGATGAAAACCCCCCCTGTTAGCTTTGTCAAATTTTCCCCAAATGGAAAATTCATCCTTGTAGGTACCCTGGATAGTACACTGGTAAGTCAATTCTTCTTTCTTCTCTTTGCAATCAGTGATTCATATCTTGTTCATTGTATTCACAGTCTTCACACCCACCAATTTCCCTAAAAAATGCCAATTTTGTGTGATATTTTTGATGCAGAGGTTATGGAATCTATCAACTGGTAAGTTCTTAAAAGACTTACAATGGCCACACAAACTCAAAATACTGCATTTCATCAGCATTTTCAATCACAAATGGCAAATACATCGTGAGTGGCTCAGAGGACAATTGTGTATACTTATGGGAACTTCAAACAAGAAAAATAGTCCAGAAACTTGAAGGTCACACAGATGCTGTAATAACAGTTGCTTGTCACCCAACTGAGAACATGATTGCTTCAGGTGCTCTTGAAAATGATAAAACAGTCAAGATCTGGATTCAGGAGGTCAACAAAATAGAAGATCAAACAGAAGCAATTGAAACAATAAAACAGTAAGTCATTTCATGGTTTCTATATCAGTTCACAGTTCATTGTCTTCTTTGGTTTTTCTCTTTGAAAGATGGCAAGAAACATTCTGAGTTAGCTGTAGTTTTTTGTATGCAGATTCTGTAGTTTAGTTGGTTTCTTTTGATCATGGTATCATAATCAAACTGTGTATTTAGGTTGATGTTAATTGTATTCTAAAGTTGAATCTTTTAAGTCATGGACTTTAAACTTAGGAGTTTGTTTGGCGTTATTGAATGTAATCACAAACAAGATAATGGAATAAGTCATGACGTTCTATTATCATGTCTTTTGTCATGTTTTTGTTTTGATTTGAACAACCGAATTATCATCCAAACGCATAATATGTTATATATATATTAAAATAAATTGGTTTATACTTTGGCCACAAAGTATAGTTTTAGGGTTTTAGACTCTGGCCTCAAAAGTTTGTTATTTTAGACTTCGGCCATTATTTTAGACTTTGGTCACAAAAATTCTTATTTCAGACTTGGACCATAAAACCTTTTTATGTTGACAGATTTGGTCTCTAGACTTTCATACGTTCGTATATTCCACCCCCTTTGTTGAAAAATCAAATAAACTAAAAACAAATGTTTTCAAACGAATTCCATAGATATACAACACCTATATTCTATTATCAAGAACACATATTGATGAAATACTTGGATTTCAATAAATTGATGCATACTTGGATTTCAATGTACAATCTGCGACATGGGTTTCAGAATTGAAACAAATCGAAGAATCGAACAAAATGGAACCGGTTTCAAAGACAAGTTAAGAGTTTAAGTAATCACAAGAAGGGGTACTAGAAGGTCAGCCTATTTTATACATAGAATAGGAAAAATGGGCCCAAAGACAGCATCTTCATTTTTGTTTCCTTATAAAAAGCGAATGAATAAAACTTGAAAATTTTACAACATGGAAAATTGCATTAAGTTTGGTTTTTAGTTCATCATTCATTTTAATTTTAGTGTGGGTGAAGTTTATGTTTAATTTTTAACAACTTGGAAGTGTTTGATTTTTGGGTTTCTCTTGGAAGGAAGGAAGAAGGTTGAGGAGATAATGATAAATTAGTCATTTTCAAAAATCTTAAAGGTAGGATGTTATTGTTAAGTGTAATCAGACTGTGACCAAATCCACGTATGAAACCATGAGAACGACTTTGAAAGAATAATAAAACTTGGACTAAACTTGAAAGTTTTTATTATGCTACACAGATCAAATAGATATATATATTTTATTCTATAGTATTATTTTAATTTAATAGTACATATAGTCATGCATTTTGGGGGTGTTCGTTTGGATAAAACCGGTTTGATCCGATCCAATCAACTGAATTCAAATTGATTTTTATTTTTAAAACATTGATACCAATAGTTAAAGTATATTCTAATGTGATCCAAGCAAACTATAAATTAGAGTAAATTATTGAACTCGTCCTTATGATTTGGTCAAAATTGCACGTTTGGTCACTAAGTTTGTTTTCGCACTCAGATCGTTCATGTGGTTTGATTTTATTGTGTTTTTTGATCCTATGGTTTGGTCAAAATTGCATGTTTGGTCCTTAATTTTATGTATGTAAGAACAAAAAACGCAACAAAATCAAACCATAGGGACGATCCGAATGCAAAAAAAAAAAAAAAAAAAATAAAAAAGGACCAAACGTGCAATTGTTACCAAACCATAGGGATAATTTATGTAATTTACTCTATAAATTATAATTTAGTTTGATCGGATTTCACAATTGGGTTATGAAAGAAGTAGGAACGTTTAAAAAAATAGTTTGCATATTAGTCCACTCTAAACAAAAAAAAAATGTTTAGTCATGTTAAAGCTTATGAACAACAATTAACAAAGAATATATTATAATTTAATAATTTATAGATAAATACCTTTAAATACATATTATTTTTTTTTATTGGGTACTTAAAAAACAATTTAGCAACTTAATAAATAATTAAGATATATATGGGAGAGTTCAATTAAGAAAAAAAAAGTTAAGAATGAGGGAATTATTCTCAGCCACTTATTTATTTTTGCTGCAAAAACCTCCATCGTACCAGCGGAAATGGAAAAAAATAAACATGTGTTTTCCAACAAAACATATTTCCTTAAATTATGCTAAACATTACCTTAATATATACAAAAACATTTTTTTTTTTTTTTTTTTTTTTTTTTTTTTTGAAGCTATTTTTATCGAAAAATTATTTTAAATATATCAAAATTCATGATTTTTATTCTCTACAAATAGACATCCATATTGATATAGTTTTAAAATAATATATATATATATATTATATATATATATATATAATATATATATTATATATATATATATATATATTATATATATATATATATAGCTATCGTTATTTATAAGTGAATAAAAATGAATCAGATTTTTACTACAGTACAATAAAAACTATGATTTTTTTTTTTTTAATTACATTTTAAGTATCATTCATATATGAATATATAACATATTCATATATAAATATTGGGAAAATGACATATAGGCCCTATAATGTTTTTAGAGTTTACCCATTTAACCACTTAACTTATTTTTTGGCCTAATAAAGGAACGAAGTGGTGGGAACCTGTTTATTTAGCCATCTTCACCTCTTTTCCCCGGTTTTATTGACAAATAGTCAAAAATTACCACATAAGCCGTTGGAAAGTAATATCACATTTTGACCATTTCTTTGTTACCATAGATCCGAACACAAACTCATCAGTTTCTCTTGTTTTATCACAAAATACCACCCAACACCACTTTCTAGCCACCACCCACCACCATCAAACGCACATCACCGCCACTGCTGTGAAATTCCGACCACCACCAAGTGTCTCCTTTCCCCCACTCATTTTCC